ACTCTACCTACCTGAGCTATTATAAGAATAATTTTTTAAGAAGTATGAAAACAGGGGCCTCCCTGGTGGTGCAGGGATTAAAGTCTTAGCGCTATCAAGGTAGCAGCAGCCACTGCAGCACAAGTTCAATACCAGCCAGGGAGATAACTCACATGGCCACATGGCACAGCAGACCTCTCCTGTCACACCCACTGCTCCCCTCAGCAGTGTATTTTAGTAGATCTGCCTGTTCTGCTCCCCACATTGTCTCTGGTGAATCCTCTCACCCCGCCCGCTCCCCCACACCTCTGGCCTACACACCCCAGTTCTTGCATGCATAAATAAATAAAAATAAATCTTTAATTAAAAAAAATATGAAAACACTTAGGAAAATAATGCTACCTGCCTTCACTCTATTTAAACATGTTGAACACCTGCTCTATGCTAAGCGCTGTGCCAGGCATGGAATTTACAGCTGGTGGAGAATGGAAACGAAATCCAATTGTGGTAAACACTATGAAAGAAAGATACTAGGAGTAAGAAAGCATAAACCAAGAGATTACCTTACTATGAGGGCTCAAGGAAAAGAACTCAAATGTAAATTAGAATTAAAAAATACATAACTTTTAAAAGAAATTTAGTCTCTAACATTAAATTTTAGCCCACATATTTACCATTTCTAATTCTCACCTTCATAAGCTCATATGAAGCTTGGATTTTTTTTTTTTTGATTGTCCAGTTTTTCCCCCAAGAAAACAATTAGATGACAGCCCTTGATACAGTATTTCTTACATACCAATGCTTAGATGACAAAACAGAAAAATGTCCATATAGGAATAAAGGTTTGAAACACAGAATAAAAATCTAAACAATCTTGTTTTTAGAACATATTGTTAAGGCACATAAAGCTTCAAAAAAATTAGAGTTCCCTGAGGTATTTTCCACTTAAGCATATATAACAAACCTCGATCCCTATTATTTTTATAAATCTTTTTTTTTTTTTTTTTTTTTTTTTTTTTTTTTTTAAATAGAGGCATGTTTTATTTATTTATTTATTTGTTTGTTTGTTTTGTTTGTACATGCACTGGGTACAGTCAGAAGTGCGGGAGGGTGAGAGAATTCACCAGAGCCAGAGCAGGGAGCAGAGCAGGCAGAAGGACCGAAGTACACTGCTGAGGGGAGCAGCGGGCGGCAGGAGAGGTCTGCGCGCCATGCGGGACCCTCCTCTGGTGGCCAGGGAGCAGCCAGGAATCGAACTGGCGCCGCAGAGGTCACCGGCAGCTTCGCAACCCAGCGCTCAACCGCTGCGCCACCAGGGAGGCCCCCTATTATTTTTAAGTCAAGCTTTGAGTTAATTATTTTATATTCAAAACTCTAAGACTCCTATCTTAGGAAAATAAAATCAAATTTAAGTAATCTGGCTGGGTTTTTGCAGGTGTTTTGCAAATTATCTTTTAATTTCAGTGTTCTCTGGAACTATTTTGTAAGAGAATGATGGAACATGTATGTACCTAACAGGAAATGCATTAAATACATTAAGAAATGCTTAGTAGAGGTTTTTCCTTCATACAACAAATTGAGGAACTATATAATTAAGCAGAAGAATTTCACCCTTGCCCAGAAACACATAATTTAATATCATTTTATTTCAACATATATTACTATTCTCCAAATTCTGAACCTATTAAATTTCCTAAATCTTTTAATTAGTTCATAAGATGCATATATAAAGTGTTATGCAAAGTTCTCTATTCCTATTCTTCTGAAAATGCACAGAACCACTAATTTGCCATATTTATTATTTTACTTTAGGTGATAAGTAAAATATTACAAAGTATTAGTTTAAACTTTACCACCACTTTTCTTATATAAATAGCTCATTCAGAAGTAGTTTATTTATATAGTTAAGCAATTAAAAATAATTTTCTTAGAGCCTTTATTAGCTTATTTCAAAAGACCTAACCAACCTAAGATTGGACAGGTATTCCATTATGCCATTAAATGTTTTTTATATTTTATAACTAATCAACCACTTCCATTCCATAATTGGTAGAAGTAACCATGTATTGTTTCTATCATTACAATTATGTGTTATTAATAATTAAAGGAGGAGAAGTGTCAAAATTCATTTTTAAAAAGCTACCAAGATTGCTCAAATAAAGAAATTTTGTAACATTAAACCTTTTAATGTTTTCAGTTATGTCCTTTTGATTTATGAGGAATAAAATCTCAATGAGAAAAAAATAACTCTAGATTTATAGACACATTGTACACAGTTCTTTCTGGTAACAATTTTAATTGGAACTCAAACTTATTCTTACCCAAATCTTCAGGAGATATCTTGCAAGCTTTCTTTGTTCTGATAATTTCTTTAGACTTAATAGTAAAACTAATTCTATTCTAAACATATCAAGAATGCAACAAAAAAGTTCAAAGATGTAAAATGAAGTAACACTCCAATTATAATTGTCATAATCAAAGTTAATTTCACATTAAGTAAACTCAAAAATTCTTAACAAGTGAGCCAGTTATTTATCATGGAAAACGTTTGTCACAGTATCTAGACTCATGTTTAGGGGAAAAGTGAGAAAAACAAAATCCTTCCAAGAATGCAGGAACATTGTAAAAGTGGAATAAAATGGATTGCCATCAAAAGGAAGTTAACTTGACTGGAAAGAATATCTTGATCATAATATGCAGTTACACATACAACCTGTGGCTCATTCAAAATTATTTTTAAAACATGTCATCTGTTGGGTTTTTTTTTTTTTTAGAATAATTTGGATGGTTAAGCTAATTGACTACAAAGGAAACTTTTCATAACAAAGCATTGAGATTATTTTAACTAAAGGGATATTTTGGAATTATCACTATCTACCTCTATTTACAATTACTAGAGGAATGCTTAAATTGAATCTAGATGACATAAAAGTGTTAAAATAATATCCTTGTGAAAAGAAAAATCTTATCATTTCATCAAGATATCAGCCCAGTGCATATAACTTCAAAACATTATTATATTCCTTTTGTATCACTTTCCTTAATAAGTCTGACCACAAATGGAAAGATGTGGCTATTTAAGAATGTGTAAGTCACTTATACTTTGGTGATCACATAACATAAATTTGGATCAATTCAATTCTATAATATTCTCCACATGTTCACTATAGGAAGAAATAACCTGCCTCTACTATAGTAAAATGTGATTGACACTCTGTATCTTAAGTGATACCTATACTTTCATATTTCAACATCAAATGTTGAAAATGTCAATTTCCCTTTTAAAAACTGTTTTAGCTTAGCTATATGCATACTGTCCATAAGACATGAGTAAACAGCAAGTGTCCTTTCAAAAGGCTAATAAATAGGACTGAGAAAAAACTTAAAAAGTGCTTTTTAGAATGTCACATGCTCTAATGAACATAAAACAATATATATATAACATACTGTGTCCAGCACTGTTCTGAGTACACTGAAGAGTATGCATAATTGAACACAGACACAAACTGTTCCACGTGGAACAATTCCAGAACAAATAATTATCATCTTTGAAATAACAAATAAAATGGAAAAAAAGATTAGTGGTTGCTCAAGGTGAGAGACAAGAATAGATGGTTATAAAAGGGCAACACACGAGACCCTTGTGATGACTCTGCTGCTGATAAATACACTTGGGGTTAAATCATATAAAACTAAACATTCACACACAAATAAATAAAACTAGAGAACAGGAATAAAGCAATGGATTTGTATCAATGTCAACATTCTGTTTGTGATTGACTATAGTTTTGAGATACTGGGGATCTCTCTATTAATTCCTACATCTACAAACTAGTCCATAATTATCTCAAAATAAAGTTTTAAATAATTATGAAACACTCTATTCTAAATACACCCTACCAAAAGAAAATAAAAACAAACAAAACCAAGAAACTGCCATCTAGAGTGCAAAGGAAATTATCTTCAAACACACAGAGTAGTAAATATTATTTCTAAACATTCTTTCCTGTCTGTGCTCTCAATTTTCTTTAAGTTTTATGTTAATTTAAATCAGTTTTGATTATCATTCCTACAAATTGAAGATCTGTCTTGACAGAGCAGTGAGAACATGCTAGTTGAGTTCAGCTAGTTGTGTGATCATGTCTAATATGAAGAGGAGGACAGGAAAGAGAAGAGCAGAGGAAACAGTGACAGGATAATGGTGTAATGGTGGTTTGTGTTTCTCTCTCTCTCTCTCTCTCTCTCTCTCTCTCTCTCTCTCTCTCTCTCTCACACACACACACACACACACACACACACAGAATGCAAACTTGAGGGGTGGAAGGAGCGCACTATAAGGATTTGTCAAAAGTAAAATCTACCTTATCAACTTTAAATCTCTTGGGAAAAGTGCGAGCATATCATTGCTCTTCCACTACCCCAAGACCAGAAAAAGTGTGTCAAGGGCTCTGGAATTCCTTTGCTGTGAGGAAATGGAAGGTTATCAAAGGCGGGGTTGATATGCAATGACACCCAGATAAAATAGGCCTCTTCAGGGTAGATTCCCATTCACGAAGGAAGACGTCCAGGCAATGCAAAGCACGTTGACTTTCAACCGGACACTCCGTCGCAATGAAAATGGAAATTAGGACGTCGGGACTCTCACACCAATCAGAAACCTGGACTCACCCCCACACAATGCCAGTCTTCAAGAACACCGTCCTCCAGGCCCCTTCCAGCATCCCCAAAATCTTGAGCCGGCGGGGGAGCAGGGCACCCGCCACCCGGGGGAAGACAGCCAGGGCAACGCATGGGCGAGGCAGGAACGCGGGCACCCAGGCTGGGTTTGGCGATGCCAGGGGCGGTGGGAGGACGCGGCAGGGACACCCCGCGAGGGGCGAGGACCCGCGACCAGGGGTTCAGGAGCGGGGCGAGGAGGTGCCGCAGGGCCAGGGGCGCAGGGAGGCAGCCGCGAGCAGGAGCGGGGCCGGGCGAGGGAGCCACGTCCGGGCCAGGAGACGCGGGCGGGGACCGGCACTTACCCGCGTTCTGCAGCGTCTCGATGTTCTGGGGTCTGGTCGCCAGCTCGGCCACCATCTGCACGAACTGGGTCCGAGCCTTCTGGTACTGCTCGAACACTGCGGGGAGAGGCGCGGTCGAGCGGGCCCCAGCCGGCCCCGCCGCTCCCCCGCCAGCCCGTCGGGGCGCCCCGCCCGCCCCGGGCCCTACCTTGCAGCACCTGCCTCTGACTCATCAGGCCCGCAGGTGTCCGCCCGCGACGGGGCCGGCGGGGCGGCGAGTGCGCGCGGGGCCTGCGAGTCCGCACCGGGGGCGACGGCGGCCACCGCTCCGCTGCGACGGGCGCCGCTGCTGTGTGTACGCGCGTCTCCCGGGTAACCCACCGGAACCGGAACGCGGCCGCGGCCCCGCAACGGCCAGTCCCGGGTGACGTCACGGCCGCAGGGCTGGGGCGCCCCGCGCCGACGGCCGGCCTGGGGGGGCTGGGGGGAGCTGGGGTGGGCACTCCCCCTGCCGCGCCTGCCCGGGTCTCCCGGGTGCCCAACCCCGGGCTTCTGCGGGAGCACAGCGCCCGTCGAGGGGCGGGCACCTCCAGGGGCGCGGGCTCTCTCCAAACTGCGTCCACCCGGTTGGTCTCTTGTCTGCCCCGGGGACGCGATTCCCTGGGAGGCAGAGGGGGCGCGGGAGGGGAGATGCGCAGAGGGAGCCGGCTGAAGTGGTCTTGGCTCCATGGTCAGAGACACTCACATGTGACGTGTGTGAGCTGATAAATACGCTGTTGTCGAGGCAACTTCAACGTCCAACCCAGACATTAATCCGGACTCTTCAGTCCACCCATAAATGTTTTATACACCCATAAATGTTTCAGGATTTATGGTTTCAGGATTCCTGGTGGGTGCAGACGAGCATTTTTATGCAAGTATACTATATAGAGAGCAATCTAGAAGCACTCTCAGAGATTCAATGAGAAAAGAGAGGGAATATGATAAATGTGCTTTCTTCCGTGGCTTTCCCCGAATTCCTAACTTTACTGCTTCCTCGCTGTGGTTTTTGGACGCTTGTCTTTGTCTTTTAAATTTGTCACTTTTCTCTTGAATGGCATTTCCAAAAGAAAGGGAGTGAGAATCTTACCTGGAAAGTCTTGATCAAAATGTTTTAACCACGCATCCTAGTTAATAGCACTTTCTCTCTTTACCCAGTTCCTCTTAACAAAAATTAAGCACTTAATCTAGCTTGTCTGGGAAAAAAAAAAAAAAAAAACAACTGTACCTAATGTTTCAAAGACAGCTGCTCCACTTTAAATGTTTGTCCATTACAAAATACAAGTTCACCAGGTGTCAGGTGGGTAGATAGCCGCGGCTGCTGCTGACTATTGCTAAGACAGGAAACTTCTGGATATCTCCTCTGCAGTAGAAGAGTGTGTAAACTTAGTTGGTTCTCCTCTTTGGGGTGAGCCCTCTCTGATAATCTATGAAATCTCACTCTGACTTGAGGTCTCTGATGAAGGGCTGACATTTTGTGGAGCCCCAAATAGTTGAGGAATGGACCAGCAGTCAGGGGGATAATGTGTTCAGTAATGTGTGTTCTGTTACCCCAGAGCAGTTACATGTCTTTTGCCCTGCAATTTACAAACCAATGATCCCCACAATCCCTTTACTTAACTCTAAGGTAGAAGTTGCAAAGTGATCTGGAATTTCTCTAAGAACACAAGTTCTTTAGTTTTTGGTTTTTCCATTTAGAGGGTGTGGGATCACATTGAGCAAATAATCAAAATTGTAATCAACTTTCACTTGAAACTTTTTTCAGTTCCTTGTCACATTATTTTTCAAAAATCACCTTAAAACTAAGAAGTACCATATTTTGTTTTAGTCCTTCAACTATTCAAACCCCTGGAGCTACTAGAGCTGCCATTTTCAGTGATTGCTTTATAATGTATTATTTCCTTTAAAAATGTTCAGATAAAAACTCAAGGGTGAAGAAGTGGTCTAAACCTATAAACATAACAGTTTACTTGTGGAATGCTACAAACTTGAGTTCAAATTGCATATAAGCTATTTTTAAACTAGATTTTGAGTGTCACTAATAATATCTATAAGTTGAATGATATATTTCCTGATAAAACACAATATAGGAATTCTACTTTATATCAATGGACATATTAAAGAAGCAAGATCTTTGCTCTTTAGCCTTTTAAAAAATTTATTTAAATTAAAAGATGAAATGCAACATAATACATAATACACATTTTAATGAATTGTTTATAATTGCAATTTTGAATTGTAATAAAATATACCAAGAGATTTTTTACTGACAAGAAAGCCAATCTATATTTGTCATTCACTTTAAATTTTATTAAGCATGAAATGAAAATATTTTAAAACAAAATGTTTTACAAAGCTAAGTGAATGCTGCATGATCACATACATCTCTCTAGTGGTTAAGCAGTGAGAAAAATATTTAAAGAGGTATTTCAGTGTTTTTTAAAAAGGGTCTAAGATTACTGTTCTTAAAGGACAGCTGACTTCAAATAGATACATAGTTAACACATTAAACTATACATTTGACAGTGAAACATATTATCTGAACAACTTGGAAAATTGTTTCCACTAAAGGTTTGCTTGGAAGTTTTGGGCTCTTTTTTAAAAAGCTAGTTATATGTAGCTTCAGAAACATTTTTGCATTAATTCCTCTACTTATGAAATTGAGACTGTAAAAGACAACAATACAAAGCCAGCTTTAAAATTCTGTTTCTCTTTAAAAATCTACTTCGGTGATTCAGAAAATCCCACCACTATGGGAATATATTCTTACACATGTCTAAAAGAAATTCTGCAAATTTTAACATATGTATATATTCTCTTTACCTCCCAGTTGAATTTTAAAATTTAAAACTTTATTTATGCTAAATAGATGTCAACATCACATTTTAGTAATTGTCGTTGAAATGAATAAAGTGTATGTATATTCTTCACCAAGTCAAACATTTATTTTTAGTGTGTGTCAAACACTTTACTACTAATAAAATGTGAATTCTAAGACATGAAATTTAGTGGAAAATTATACATGTAAACAAACTCCTCATTCACTCAACAGCACCAAGCTGCTCTGTTTGAAAGGTTGTAATTGCTGTAAGTGTTGTAGCTGTTTTGTGAGCAGAGGACTTAGGGAAACCTAAATAAAATGACAATATCTAATACACTGCTAAAATAATAAATGGTATCCTGTTGAAGAAAAAATAGCTGTTTATCTACATATGAAATCTCCTTCACCCCACCAAGAAATACAGAGTTAGCATTTAAAAAGGCATCCATTTAGTAATTACATGTAATTATTAGAGCTATGAGAATAAAATAATCATTTGCCAGCACCAAATCTAAAATTACTGAAGTAACTCCATATTTACATTTTTTACTCTAGAGCAAAGGTGTTACATACTCTCTAGCCAAATTATGGATTTATAATATTATCTATTGTGAAGGAAGCCAAATAAATAACATCTTAATGTTGCATTGCCCCTCTTGGGAAATAATGTCAAGATTTTTGGTTAAGGTCAGAGCCAACCATCCAGTTATGAGATCAAATTTGTTAGCAGGGCAGAAGAGACTTGTACACTTCCATCCAGAAAGGATGCTGTGCTTGTGTCTTATCTTATTCTGTGCCTTCCAAGCTATTTAACATCAATGCTTTACATTTTAAAACTTTTCCTTTCAGTGTGAAGGCCAATAAAAAGTTAAGATGATAATGTTATCTGACCCCAAAGTTCCAAAGATACACCTGTGCATGGCTTCCTTTTCCAGTAACTCCGTGGACAGAGAGATGGAACTTGTCTTTTTCACTTCCCAAGAAAACCGTGACCGTGGGATTCTTAATTCCACACACGAGTAAGCTCCAAAGGCATCATACAGCACAAAGTTTTTGATATCAAAAAAAAAGATGCTTTTAATGTAGCAGTATGAAACACAGCCTAACATTTTCTGGGGCACTGAGACAAGCATAAAAACCAAATTGCCTCGCTTACTGTGTATGTGTGCTATGCATCTTCTTTCTAAAGATTTACATGAGTTTTCTTTTTAAATTGTCCCCCAAATCCTGCATCACCAGATAGAAACCTCTAAGCACCCTGCCGTCGAAGTCAGCCAACACGTCTCTGCCCCCTCCCCCCTTAACCCTTGGCGTTGCTGGATTGGTCTCTATGTCTCAGAGAAGGCAGGTGTGATAGCTTCCCCACCTTGTTATTGGTACAGGACACCAGAGACAAAGATAGAAGTTACCAGACAGGAAACGGCCCCTGGAAGCTGCCAAGACCCGCGAGGACTTGGCTCGCGCACCCTGAGGCGCTGCGGATCCTGGACCGGCTCGTCTAGGCTCAGCCAGCGCTAAGCACAAAGTTCTGGCCGAAGTCGAAGAGCGAGACAGGCCCCGAAGTTGGGCTTCAGTCACGAGCTCTGGCCCTGGAGGGCAACTGCGCCCGGAGTTGGTAGGGGAGGTGGGGTCGGGAGGGAAGCCAGTGGTGCTGCCAGACGTCCTGGGCTTTTCCACTAACCCAAAGTTCCTCAAACTCCAACTAGCATCCCCTGGGGTTCCCGAAGTTTCTAGCTGGGCGGGAGGGTCGGGAAATCCGCTAGGGTCAGGCAGAGCTCGAAGGAGAGAACCGCGAGGCCCCGGCTGCCCCGCCAGGAGGAGGGTGCGGGGGGCGCTGGGCGGGGAGCGCGGGCGGGCGCACCCGCGGCTGGAGCGCGGGGAAGAAGCGGGGCGCGCGAGCGCCGGGGCGCGAGGCTGACTCCGCGGGGGAGACCTCCCTCCCCCCACGCGGGCGAGCCGCGGGCGCTAGCGAGGGCAGTTCGACTCTCCGGCTTCCTCGCCTTCTGGAAGCCGCTGCCTGGAGCTGGGGAGGGAAGGGGCCGCGGCCCCGCGGGCCGGCGTCTGTTGGGGGCGGGCTGCAAGATGTCGACGGCCTCTGTCCTTTCGCTTTGCGTCCCGGGCAGGCCTCCAGCCAGGACCGCAGCGCCAGGCCGGGTCTCACCGACAGGACTCGGCGGAGCCTCGCCGCAGTGCCCATGACCCGGGGCCCGGGAAATAGTGCCCCCAACTCCAAGGGAGCCCCTGCAGTGGGCTGGAACCCCAAGCCCAGGAGCTGAGGCCCCGAAGCACGGGGGCAGCCCCAAAGCTCGCCTCGCCGCTCCCTTCAGCCCTGCTTTCTCCTCCCAGGACTTGTAAAGAGAGTCCCGTTTGGAGCATGGGGTGGGGGGGGGGCATAGTGGGGGCGGGGGGTTCAGATTTCCATTTCCAGGAGT